CCCGTAGTATAACACGGATTATTATCACTTATCAAGAGAGACACTGTGTCACTGGTTTCAAGGTAGTCACATACTAACTGTTCATCTTAAAGTAATACTGTTTGTATGTTCAAAATAACAAGGCTTGAACACCATGCAGGATTGTTTTACACACAATTTTAAATGTGGCTGATATTTCATAGACAATAACAAGTGACTTTTGGTATTTTGACCACTGAACTAGCTAATGTCCCCATTTTCTATTTCAGAAATCCTTATGAAAGACCTGACCAATGTCTAGAAATGAAAATATCTAAGTAACTTGAGGCTGGACTTAAGCCGTACTACCAACTAGCAGACACATTTTCTTATATATCACCACTCACATTTTGTTTTTCTTTTTTTTCATAAATTCTAGTTTGTTTGTTTTTGTCATTTTTAGCCACATGCCTTATAGTCAGTGCAAGCATGACTGATGAGTGCAAGCATCAGTCCATTGGGTTATTGACTGTTGTTACTTATGCCAGGTGCCACTGCGGGCACTATTGCTTTGCCCAGGAGCACATGTAGGGCATAATATTGAAATCTACATCATGCCAGCTCAATGAGACAAGGAAACCATGGGGCTCTACCAAAAGAATATCAGGATACATTGGAGCTGAAAAATGCAAAAACTTTTAGTGCTCTGAAGATGGCAGGATGTTGTGTTCCTCGCAAATGCAATGTTTGGCATTTGGTGGGTACCAAAAGAAAGCAAGGGATAAATTCTGTGGTGTTGATTAATTAAAGATTGTAATGGCGGAAAACCAACGTTGAGTATCTCATCTTATAAAATAAGTGGAGGCTGTATATCAGTTGTTTCTGCTCTCTGTTTACATAAGTTTTAGTAGCTAATTGTGAATGTGTCTTTTGAAGTCTTCTTTATTGTATTTTTGTGATTTTGTGTGTGAATTTTTTTTTAACCATCAGCAGTGAGACATTCCTGTTGTTTGGCTTTTATGCTGCATTTAATGGAAAAGAGTGGAATAGCTTCTGATATTTTCTGTGGAGTCCGTGTCTGTGGAAGGTTTTGCAAACCGGCATTACTCATCATATTACAAGTCTAAAGTGAGTAATAGCAATGATACAGCCTAGTTCTTTAATCAGTCATTTAAAGCGGCTGTGTTTTCTTCTGCTCACATTAGAAGAAAGCAGTGACTTATTTTTTAAACTAAAGACATTTTAAATCGTCTTTTTTTGTAAAACAGAGGATGCCATGAAATGTGCTTTTAAAGTAATTTGAGTCACATTGTATTGTTTTACTCATGACATTCAAGACATTTACAGTATGTAGACATGGAGAAGTTGCTTTCGCTAATGTATTTCATACCAACTTTGTAATAAATTATAATGTGGTTTTTAATTGTAGATTGCTGAGATCCAGAACCACTCCCTTTATCACCTATGACTGTAACTGTGAATGTTTGCATGAACCCAGGGATCAGATTTTTATTTAAGGCATAATAATAAAGTCTTTAACAAAGATTGCACTACTTTTTACTCTGTGTGAAGTGGGGAATTCCAAGAATTAAATTATTTCCTATTTATATATATATATA